GCCCACTTAACAATCCTGTCGTCTCCATTATCTCCATCCCTGAATCTCTTGTTTGTTTCCCCTCATCCATTCCACCCAAAATCCCGCCATTCATATCGAATTCGGCTTCTCTGCACTCCAGTCCTAATACAACCAGCTCTCAGTATTACAACAACATTCCAGAGAGCCTTTTCTATTGACTCATCTCCCCTCTCCCTACCTGGCATCCTCAGTGTCCTCCCAGACTTCCGCCTGATCCCGCCCCTTACTCCTCCCGTACTCAAATGCCGAACGGAATATACCATCAAGTGATAGCGAAATGAGCTGGCTCTTGTAAGCAGCGTCAGTCGAAGCAATTGTCGGCGCTAGTTGATGGGGCCGAGGTTCAGGGGTGCCTCGTCTGATGCAATTTTTTATTCTACGTGCTCACTCTCCAGCATCCCCCCCCCCAACCTCTGCACAAAGTGAATGCATCTTCTATGCAGATTCAAGCTTGGCTAATGTTGGGGAAAGTGGGATATCAGAAGGCTTTTTTCCTCCAAAGCTAGTCCAAAGGAAGGAAATAAAACACGGGCTATGATTTTAAAGGATGGAGACCAGCACGATGCCTACCTACGACACGCGGGAAACATGCGAACGACACATGGGAGGAAAACCGCAGGGGTGATAACGCAGTAGGGGCCACAGAAGTGCCCCAAGTACCTTGTACCTCAGATGTATTCGATTCACCAACACTATCCCCAGAGCCGATTCGGTTTTCTGTGCAATTACTAGCCGTCACTATTATGGCCGGAAAAGCGGCTTGTTGGTGTCGCGAGTGATTGGACATGAGCTTATGTTCCTACCCGCACAATAAGAAATAAACGGACAAGCATTGACAATGAAACCCCCGGGCAAATGCGGGTCAGAAGGATGCCGAGCACGTTTCTTGGCAATAGATAAGTCTGTACGGCCAACTGATCGCCTGGCGACAGTTGGTTTCGCGATAAGGCTTACGGGAAGCTCATCGCTATATCGCTACATGGCCTACGACCGGAATAAGATACGGGGGACGACGATTCTGAAAGCTCACAACGACTTGGATGTCATGTGCAAAGAAATTGACCCGGGGGCAAATAAGCACTATACCTCTTTCTGTATCGGTGTATCATCTTGACTCGGCTCATAAACAACCTTCCACGGATCAAGGAACGCTCTACCTGGTATGATGTTTCCACCTAACCTAAAAACCCATCCTGTACGGTACCTGCCACCATCAACTAAGCGTTTTTTTTTTTCGCAGCCGAATCCCCCATCCTCTCAAATGCGTGCATCTCCGCCACGAGTTTATAACAACTTCCATATCGTACCCACCATACATACATATAATACCTACCAACCAACAAACCTCCAATTGGACCAATCAATAGATTTCCACAAGGCCCCCACAAATCATCCTTCAAACAAAGCCGCAACATAACTCAAAGAAAAAAAGAAAAAAAGAAAAAAAAGATCAGCATTCCCGAGTGAGAAGGGGTGACGCCGGATTCCCCCCCGCGCGCCTTCTGTACATTAGAACTAGGAGTTCGGTGGGCACGCAAACTGAGATTTGTCCCACAAGTGGTAAAACGGCATTGATTCAGTTCGCCCGCCCCATCCACCACCACCACCACCACCACCCTTCCCGTTCGGCAATCCCACAGCAATTGCCGGGGAGAAGCGAAAGGGAAAACGAGCCAGCATTGTTCCAGCTGAAATGCAAAAATCAAACTCATGACCGGGTTATCCGCAAGGGAGGGAGGGAGGGAGGAGGAGGGAAAAAAAAAAAATTTCCTGAATCGCGTGACGGACGGACCAAGGTGGGCGAAGTGCCGTCCATACCATACAAAACAAAACTGGTGCGAAAATGCACAGCCCGACGGATAAGGGCCAATTAAAAGGGTACTAAGTTTTTTTTTTTTTCATTTCACTTTTGATGAATAATGATTATGGTGATGATGGTGATGATGATTATAAAGCAAGCGATAAAAACTCACCGGTTAATCAGTACTAGTAGTTTTGATAAAAGCACAATTGCGGCGGTATGGAAACTAAAAAAACTCTCTCTCAACGGCGAAGCATAGAGTTTAGCACTTGAAGGAGCAGGAAGTTGATGATGATAATAATAATATGATACCGTGACTTTTTTTCTTTTCTTCTTTTTCTTTTTCTTTTCCTCAACCTGAGGTTACAGTACTGTACCGGTACTAGTAGGGTACTGTACTGTACAGTAACGCATCCATCGCATTGCATCGCATTGCATCGCATCGCAAATCAACGGGCGACATCGTTTCGTTTCGGCACCATGATACTGCAAGACAACTTGTATCGAGTACTGTACGAGTACTCGTACAATACACACAAGACCACAATCTCAATCCCCCGCCACGCTTCGTATTCCATCTGCAGCTCAACGAACGGAGCATTAAGAGACCGGTGCGCTCTGTGGCGCCCTGGAATGCCTGTCAGCAAACTTACCTATCTACCCAGAGCTACCGCCAGGAAGAAAGAAAGAAAAACCACAACTACCACAAACCAACAGATGCAAAAGAAAGAAGGAAGAAAGGAAAAAGAAAAGAGAATCAAAACTTAATCGAACAACATACATGAAATAATAATAAGAAGAAATATAAAACACAACAAAAGGATAAAAATAAATTTAAATCAGAGAGAGGGAGAGGGAGAGAGAGAGGTAAGCCATTTTCCACTGATCTGAGGTATTCGATTCTCCCTCGTGGAAACGATTATGATATGATACGATACGATATGATACGTGGATCTCTCTTTTCTGCGAACTAACTAACTAACTAACCAAATCACTAACGAACTAACTAACTAACGAGGATCATTAAGAACTTTTGCTTCTTCTTCTTTTTTTTTTTTTTTGAGTGAGTGAGCGAAGGGGAGCAAAAGCGAACGGGATTGAAACGTGTGAGGAGCAGGCGTCGGCGTAAAAAGCGTGGGCATTGCATCACGTCCCCTCCCGGCATGTTCGTGGAGGGATGGATGGATGAGTGGGAAAATCTGGAAAACCAACCTCACTCGACGTACTCTACACAGTATTCTACCGGTTATGCTTAGCTAGCATAAGCACAAGCATCAACACGGCCATAACACCCTCCGTCCCATCCCATCCATCACATACATGCTCTGCATAACGAAGTGATCGGTCAACTACCGTAAAAAAATAAAATAAAAGTACCGGGCCGGAGCGATATTTACCTCAGGGAGATCAGGGAAGAGAAAGGGCAAAAAAGAAAGAGCAAAACGCGGTTCAAAACAAAACCAACAAACCCTCTATCTTTCTCGAGTGAGCGAAGGTGAACCGTGAAAACACGATACCCAGTTTAGAAAAAATATTGCAAAACGGCCGGACAGGCAAGCAGGAAGCCGATTCCCGGTCGGTTGCGTGGTCCGGAATCCCCGAGAGCCCGATATCGGAAAATCCGATGATTTTCTTTATTACATTCTTCTTCCTTTGATGAAGGTTCGGGCCCTCTTTGGGGGTTTTTCTTTTCCCTGTCTTGTTCCCGTCTTATTTTTGATTGCATCCTGTTCCCATTCCATTTTAATCTTGTGGCACGAGTGGTTTAGGATCACGGTGGCAGGTGGATACAGTAAAGGACCGTATTGTATCATAAGGTTACAGCGCGGTAAGGTTATATCGTCCGATCATAGATGCGCAGGGCTGGGGTTCATCGGGGTGGTGGTGGTGGTGGTGGTGGAGGGGAGGGGGAAATTAGGCGAGGAGGAAAGGCCGCTGCAAGAAATTCTGAATCAGTAAGATGGGGATGCCGGTGTGAAAGGAGATTTATGATGTTATGATTTTTGTCTCTCTCTCTTCCCTCCCTCCCTCCGCCATGTTCCTGTCTTGAAGTTTGATTGATTGCATTATAGATTGACTAATGGTGAGTGCCGCCGAGCTGCGACGGTAAAACAGTCATTCTAGCGCACGGTAGTAGTAGGCCGAGCTATCCATCGTAGATGGGGTATGCGCTGCGCGGCGAGGTGCGACACTGCCATGGTCACGATCCCGGGAAGGCTAGACGAGGAAAGAAAAACGAGATTTGTCGCTCAGTCAAATGTCTCACATCAAGCCCGACCGTAATTAGTAAATATGCGTTCAACGCGACAAGATAGGCTGCTAGAGAACAGCCTCCACCTCGAAAGCGAGTCAAGGGAAAAGAAACAAGGCTATGATACCACGGTCATCAACGAATTGAACATCGTGAACCAGGTTTATGTCCCCCCCGCTCCCACCTCCTCCTCCGAAGCGTAGATCACGGAGCAAAAAACCCTACTCAGCAGATGAGGGGGAAGAAGAAAAGAAAGGAAAAGAAAGGAAAGGAAAAGAAAAAAAACTCATTCCATCATCCGTCCAGAGAGAGAGAGAGAGAGGGGTAGGCAGGCAAAGAGGAGAAAGCACGGAGTGAGAGAGTGGAGTGAGAGGGAGAGAGGAGAGGGAGAGAGAGACTTGCCGTAACGCCTATGACGAAAGCGAAATCTCATCTACCGCTCGAGACGCCGCATCAGCATTATCACCCATCCAAAACCCTTTTCTTCCACCGCCGACAGGACAGATCAGACCACGCGCTCACTCCCAAAAAACCTCCTCACTACCTCCCAACCAATCACTCCTTAAAACATAAACCCTCACTCGTAAAAGGCATCCGGCACGTGAGGTAGGCGGACAAGGACACACAGACGAGAAGACTAGGGGGGGGTTATCATAAAAATAAAAGAAAATTAATTCCTGGCATAACCCTTGGACTGTCCATGTAGATGGATGAAAAAGGGTGAAGGGGAAAAAGAAAAGGGGAAAAGCATCACCGCCACACACACATCATACAGTAACAGTACGAGTACATTAATTTTTGTTTATCTCGTGCTATGGTCTGGTCACGGGGGTTGGGAAAAAAGAGTTTCTAATCGGAGGAGTATGATTACAGTAACGGTATGTTCGTGGTTTTTTTTATGTCATTGGTTGATGTATGATAGTTCCCTTATTTTTTTTTTTTTTTTTTATTTCTCTTTCTTACCCTTTTCCTCCTTTTCCATCTTCCTGCTTGAAGTGGATTTCTGTCTGTCCGTCTGTCGGTCGGTCGGTCTGTCGGTCGGTCGGACGACGATCATTCACACTTGCCCATCTGTCCATCTGTACATCTGTCCATCTGTCTGTCTGCCATACAGATGAACCACCTCGACCAATCAATCAATCAATACTACAACTCCTTCCGATTCCCAGATTCCTTTTTTTTTTTTCCTTTTTTTTCCTTCTGCTCGCTGTCGAGGTCGAGATGGATATGTTACCGTACTGGACGGTACTGCAGACGGCGGACGACGACAAAGTGACAATCCCCAAAATCTCCCTTACAAACAAACAATTCCGGGGGGCTAAAAACCAAACATGCATTCTACCGCACGAAACTGTTGTACAAAATATATATATAGTTGTACTATATAAAAAAAAATAGCCCCAATTCCTCAAGTCCCCCTCCCCACGGCGTAGGAGAAGGAAAAGAAAGCAAAGAAAGAAAAGAAAAAACCCTCTCCAGCTGCCGTCCGGCAGACAGACGGACAGACAGACAGAGAACCATATCGCCATCGTATCGAGATGTCAAGCAAATCGTCCGTCCGGAATATCCGTGCGCAGTGCACGTGTGACCTCTTTTTTCTTTTTTCCGTTTGCTTTTTTTTCTTCGCATTTCCTCCTTTCTTTCTTCACACTTGTCAACTCTTGTTCGTCATGTTCCTTTTTGTCGTGATGGATGGTGATGATGATGATGATGATGATGATGATGATTATGGTTGGAGGGAGGGAGGGGAGGGAGGAGGGGAGGTGGTCGTCCACTTCACCGACCGATCGACCGACAGATGGACGGACCGACCGAGCGGGGGGGGGGGGAGATGGGTTGAGATGAGATTGAACAATTAATTTAATTAATTAAATCGATGTTCAAACTCCACTAACTAACTATGGATGGACAATGGGGTAACGTCGCGTGCTCTCTCATAAAGTTGACTCGCAAATTGCACTCACGTGAATAAGTTAGAGCCGTGATCGGTCAACGAATGGAAGGGGAGTATCGGCCTGTGCAGACTGACGTATGTACTCTACTTGTAGAGGGAGAGAGAGAGGGGCAGCTCACGATCTTACCGTAGATACAGTATCGGGGAAAGGCGAAGGCTCAATTCGTAGCAGGAAAAAAAAAAAAAAAGAACCTTGAACGAACCCCGCGAAGACAAGAAGGGAGACAGAGGAAGGGATTACCATTCCCATCTTCATTCACCCCATCATCATCATCGTCATCACCAAATACCGGACCGGGTTACAGTACCGCAAATACCAGTTGCGGTACTGCCCATGCGCAAGGCAGGTACAAGTACGAGTACAGTACAGTACAAGTACGAGTACAGTACAGTACAAGTGACTACTTGTAGTAACACCTACTTACCAGGGTAACCCGCCCCCATCGAATCCCGTTCGTTACCAGAGATTGAACCCGGACAGTCACATGTTACCACTTGCTGCTATACTATAACGTTCCCCCACCTCGAAATTGAGGATTGGAGCGGTGAGGATTGTCCGTTCGTTCCGTTTCGTTTCGTGCGGTGAGCGAGAAATGAGAATGAGAGAATTGCCCTACTGTACGAGGATGTTCGAGTGGGAAAACGACGGTTAGAGGAGGAGGAGGAGGATGAGGATGAGGGGATAAGTTTGTAGGTGAAACATTAATGTATCATACAAACTTTTTTTTTTTTTTTCGAAAGGAAAGAAGAAAAAAACCTCATGGGTACACAGGGTAACCGTGCTTTGCAGAAAAACGTGGTCCGTATGCATGTTCGCCGCTGTTGATGATCCTCTCTCTCTCCATATTGGATAGAGTGGATGATAATACACCAACTCGTGAGGAGACACAAAGTTATTGTACAGTACCAGTACGAGTACTCGTGGTATTGCGGTGAAGGAACGGGTCGGGCAATCTCGATGGAACAATAAAGTAAATAAGCGGTAATCAATCATCATGAAACCCGGTACTCGTATACGAGTTATGCAGTGCGGTAAACCGTGACAGGACAAACAGACAGACGCCGTTCGTCGGGATAACTTTTTTTTTCTTTTTTCTTTTTTTTTTCTCCTTTCTCTGTGTTCCATCCCCTTTTACTCTGGAATGTAGGAGTAGGGAGAGTACGGTGCTGTGCTTGTATATTTACTGTATTACTATTTCATCCCATGTCACCCTGGCCAGAGGGGGGGTGTGATAAACAATCGCTCGCTAAACAAACGTGCATACGGACGATACGATGCGATGCGATAAACCTACCTCCCTATTCCCTTCAATCAATCGATTAGTCAACCGAGCCTTATCATACACGCCTTGCCCTTCTCCAACTCGAGCGCATACATACGCGCTCCTCCACGGTTGCCCCAATTCACCTGACAACCCACGATTACCGCGCGACACACCTGACCCACTTTCACCTTCTAGACGGCGCCAAACGGGCAGGGCTGAAACGACTCGTCTAATTGGTCCGAACGAACCGAACCGAGAGCAAGCGAGTCAAACCTCGACGAGCCACATGGCACAGTAAGCGAAAGTTCTTGTCAGGTTTAGCGTGGGCAAAGGGGTCGGTGGTGGGATGGGGAGGTGTGTGTGGTGCAGAGCAGATCTGATCAGCCGGTTAAACCCGTTCGCAACTTTTCTTTTTATCATTCTTTCCCTTTATTTTCCTTTCTTTTTCCTTTCCCCCTCTTCCTCTCTAACATTAATTCGTTCCCCTTTCGGACAAGGGTATATTTAATGGGGGAGCGAGGGAGACAAGGGCATTGTGTGAGTGGTCGGTCGGATTGTGGTGGGAGGGCTGAGTACTCGTATTGGATAATGTTATTGTTTGGCTCTGTCCTGAATGGATGGGTGGGAAGGGACCGGTAAGGAGGGTAGGATAAGGTAAGGTGGTAGTACTGGCGCGCGGTTGCGTTGCACAAGTTCTGCATGGATTGGGTGGTCCTTTTGCGGTCCCTTTTTTTCTTTTTCTTCCCTTTTTCCTCTTGGAGGAGGGGGGGTTTCCACGTGCCGTGCCTGGATTGACGGTTCATTCGCTGCTGCACTACGGTATTATTCGAGTACGAGTACTCGTAGAGTTGCTGGTGCAGCCTGCCAGTGGGAAATGTGTGTGTGTGAATGAGTCCAGAGTAAGAGAGAGTGAGAAAGTCAAATGCTGCTGCGGTAATGCTCGGTGGTTATTGGAGTTTTTGGAAGGGGCTCACCGGTGGTGCTTACTTGCCTTCTCGGGTTACCCGCTTGCTTGTTCTTCCTCTCTTGGGGGGGGGGGGTAACGGTACTTGGTGCGGTTCTACAATAGGGCGGGAGTCTGATGATTTCCGGTAGCCGTTTTAATGTTTTTTTTGTTTTTTTTTCCTCCCTTCCTTTTCCCTATTTCCTGTTATGGGTATTGGATTGTATATTGGATTGTGTGGTACTGTACAAGTACTGTGATTCGCCTATAGTACGGTACTCACGGTACTCGCTGCATCGCTACTCTGCAGCATCGCGGATGGATGAAATTGGCCGGAGGCAGTGGAGCGCGGGTATAGCACCATATGCCTCCTCCCTCCCTCCCTCCCTTCCTTCCTTCCTCGCTCGCCCCGTAGAGCTGATATATCACGGGCCCGTACCGCCGCCTGTAATCCGTCCACACTCGTGATTTGACCCCCGCGAGGGCGTTCGCATCGCTGCGCGAACCGTAATGGAGACGGAGGCTAGTCTCTGCCGTATCGTAGGCCAGTCTGGTCGGTATCGTAATCTATCCGCCTACAAGTACAAGTACCAATGGCAGTCCAGTTTTGGAGTGGATATCGGATTTGTAGGGATTCCATTGGTGCTTTTATTTTTATCTCCATATTCCTTCTGGTTGGATGGGCGTTGGATGGATGGATGGGGGCGTTGTGGTAGACACGCTACGAAATGTGAGGCTATTCTATTTATCGCTGAGTGCGAGCTTACCATTTGACGATTGATCGACAGATTGTTCGCGAGTTAGATAGATAGGGTGGTGGTGGTGGTGGGTACGGTGGACTATCGCTCGCTTGGTGGCCCATCTATGGATGGCTGTTCACAACTCGGTGAACCTGGCCTTCAATCATCATCAGGTCCAACCATCATATTCGGCAATCGCGAATGTTATGTTTCTGATCCCTTCTACTTTATTTTTTTCCCCCCCCAAATTTCCTGTTTTCCCATTCTCCAAGAAGCGTCCTTTGTGATATACCTCCCTCCTTCTCCTTCACCCGTGATATGATAGGCCGCGGTAGGTTAGCTGCGGTACGGTAGGTTATGTACGGGCGAGCATTATTTCTCCGGAAACGGGGATTCGCGGGCTGCATGCATGAGTTTTTGGTCAGGTGAGTGGTTTTTGAGGAAGGTGTGGGTGGGTTCTTTTGAAGGGTACGAGTAATAATAATAATAAAAGAAATGTGGTGTGTGAAGGGAGGCTTTTTGCGAAATTCGCTTTTCCTTTCGATGGACGGATGCGAGTGGACGCGGACGGGGTGAATAAGTATGGGTACAGGTATCATACTCGAGTTTACGGTAGGGTGCCGTATCGGTATGTGTGTATGTGTGAAGGAAGGGCAGGTAGCCAGTATGGCACCCTATGTACCGAGTCGGATCGAGGATTTTGCTAGTGGGGGAAGTTGTATCAATGGCAAGGGGATGATGGATCATGTTCAGGGAGGCATTTTTTCGCACAGCTAGGCATGAGATAGGGATTGACCGATTGATCGATTGAGTGGAGCGTGATATCACGGGAGGGATTGGTGAGTAAGAGGGATAAGGATCAAGTTTAGGGGAAACCATCTTCGTGAGCCCCCTTCCCCTCCCCTTACCCCATTCTGCGCTTCTATGACGCGGACGGAAGCGAAAGGATAGGGGAATTGTTCTCTTGGAACAATGCAATTGATCTAACCGCGCGAATACAATGGAAGCCTGCTCCTCTTTGTTCTCTCCTCCTTTTTTTCTTCTTTACTTTTTTTTCCTTTCTTCATCCCCTTCTAACCTTTCCATAATTAATTGTCTCGTTCGTGAATCATGGTGTTCCTGTGTGTGTGTGTGAAGGGGAGGGAGAAGGGCAGGGTAGCAGGGGAGAGGGAAAAAAAAAAAAAAAGGAAAAGGAAAAAAGGAAAAAAGCCCCATCTTCATCCTTCCTTTCATCATTCATCTCCATCTCTCGTACCTGCGTAACACAAAACGAGAACCGAGACAGGAAACCGTCCCTGTCCCTCAAGGAACGCTAAGCTAAACTACGGTAACTCGTACAAACTTGTACGCTCGCTACGTTGCGAGTACTGTACGTGTACAGCACCCTAGCCTTCCCTCCCTCCCTCCCTCCCTTCTTCACCCCCGCTTCTCCCATTCGCGATAAGCTGCTAATTCCTTACTGCCGCCGCCTTCGCCTTCCCGAAGCTAGACCGTGCCTTCATCTTTCCAGCCAGCGCTTAGCGCCTCATTGGTTGTGGATGGTGGTGGTAGCGGTGGAGGAATAAAGGGCAACATATGGTAAGAAAATGGGATGAATTTTTACTGTATTGCGAGTCAAATAACGTCTTGGCTGCATTTCCTGAGAACTTGGCATCATGATTTCCTGTATGACAGCGGTGGGTGGGTGGGCAGGTTCTTGAAACGAGAGAGCGTTAAACGAGTGGTGTGGGGAGCGTGGAAAGTGTGGGAATGGTGGAAATGGGAATGCGAATGGAGAATAGGTAGGTAGGGCAAGGCACGACGGGCAGGGTAAAAAATAAGAAAACACGGGAAAAGGAAAAAAGAAAAGAAAAAAAAACAAAAAAACAATTTGATTGACAGGGAAACGAAGGAAGCGAAAAGTCGAAAGGGAAAATGGTAGGGCGGGGGGGGAAGAGAGAGAGAGAGACGAAGAGAGAGACGGAGGGAGAGAGATACAAGCACAGTAGAATGGCTGAGAGGGAGAGGGAAATGGGTGGCGGCGGGTGGTGGTGATTTTCATCTGTTTTGGAGTTGAGGCGTTGAAGAGGCAACCGGTATTGAATGTCTTGTCCCCTCATGCTGTGGCGACGGGTAACGGTGGGGGAGGGAGGATTAATGGGATCCAAAGTGGTAGTCTAAGTTGATACTCGAGTATTGATGCGTTGCGTGCCGTGGAGTCCCTCTAAACTTTCCTTCGTGATGGACTCGGCTAGCCTGATCCCTCCATCGCGAGTTGATAATCCTTACCCTGAACCAGCCTCAGGCGAGACGCCAGGCACAGCAGCAGTGGCAGCAGTCAGGCAGGCAGGCGAATCAACCAAAAGGACCACACGAGCCCAGAGGAGGGAGGCAGAATAAGGATCGGGATCGGAAGGGTCAGAATAGGAGCAATCCATTCACTCTGGGCACCCCCGTTCCACTCTGCCAAACAGAAGGCCGGGCAGAAGGACATTCAGTTCATTCGAAAAGGGATTTCAATTTCTCGTCAAAGGAGGCGTTTTGCGCCGCCGCGGCCCCTGCACTATCCCCTAGCCGGAATATCACTCGAGTGCCCGCCCAAAAGCTCTACAGTATCGCGTACCGGTATTGTGTGATGGCACAAGAGATTGATGCTGCTACTGCCACTGCTGCCCCTGCTGCCCCTGCTGTATGATATGTATGATACTGTACGAGTACCTCCCGTGACGATGCTGTAGCAATAGCGAAAAGTGCAAGCCCAGTCACTTGCTCTCTCTCACTCATCCAGTTCACTTCTTCAATACAGTGACATATCCAAGACAAGACATGCATGCATTTGACTCGCAGGGACAATACAGCTCCAAGACATGAATGGTTTTGAAAAAGCAAAAGATCTCGAGGGATCCAGAAGAAGAAAAGAAAACAGGGACACTTTTTTTCTCCTCTTGTTTTCTTTTTTTCCCGCAGTGAACGGGGGGAGAAAAACGAATTATGGGTTCAGGCAGTACTCTAGGAGAGTAGAATAAGAAAAGAAAGAAGAACATCACCTTTTTTTTACTTTGCTTTTTTGCTAAATCGCTGTTCCTGCTAGCCGCACGCCAGGAGTGCAACCACAACTGCTCGTTGCGCCTAGCAATGAGAGATTCACCTCCACTCTTTCCCATTTACAGGGGTAATGGGGGGGGGGGGTGAGGTAAAGGGGAGGAGCAGGTACTCGAGCACGGTAGTAACGGTAGCAAATTGGTAGAGCGTGCTGGTGCTGGTGGTGGTGCAAAGCAACTTGTTCCGAATTTGAGGAATATACGGTACTACTCTACTCTAGGATTTATTTAAAAGACAAAATCCTCCACTCCTACTCCCCTTCCACACCCCCTCAATGCGGTATCACCGATCACTGAACTACTCGTACAAAGTCCAAGCTTAAATGAAGAGAGGACAGCCTTTCCCGAAAAGCAAATAACACCCTCCCAGCATAATTACCTACCTCCTCCTCCTTCCACTACCCCCCGATACATACATATACCACCGGTACATACGGTGCGGTAGTCTTGAGAAACAAAAAAGAAAAAAGAATAGATCTTCTTTCCTTTTTTTTTTTTACGACCACATCCACAATCTACAAGTACTTCATAAGGCTTCCTGGTTCCACCTTCCTTCACACTCCTCCCTTCGTCATCCGTCATCGGTTTACCACTATTACAGCTACTACTACACAATTTGCCTTGCATTTCACAAGGGAAACCATTTCGACTCCCTGTTTTGGCACCATCTAGCAAAAACCTGTTGGATTGCCATCTTATATATCGCAATACTGCATAGCCATCAATAAGCCTCGGGCTTATTGATTATAGTCGGTGTTTTCTTCCACAGTCTTCAAAATTCAGGAATTAGAGGTTATTCCGCGGTGTTTACCGTGGTCTTCACTCGTGGCGTCCCAAGGAGTTTACTCGGCATACTCGCCGCCATCTACAGCTACGGCGTCATTCGGAGAATACTCGCAGTACGGCAGGATGAATCAGTATGGGGATGAGGAGGATTGGAGTCAATTCCCAGTGGGGTGTTATAGTGTAGGTTTCCGTGAAGTTTTCCTTCTCACTTTTAATCCTTTCCGCTTAGCAACGGCGATGACGATGATAATGGAGGAAGTAAGAAGGGAGGGGAGGGGAGGGGAAGGAGATAAATAGAATTTGGAAAACTGATCGAATAGTGGGAAACACAGAACTCGTTAAGCTACCATGCAACGCTCGAGTCTCACCCATCGCTAGACTACCCGCTCTCATTATCCCCGATGCCACTACTATCCTCACCATCCTACACAGCACCCACAACGACCAGCTCACCACCACCCCCAACCCTCTACACAACCGCGCAGACAAACCCATTCAAGCGACCGTACCAACCCGACCCAACCCCCGTCTCCTCCCCGCAAGCCATGCCGCCAACAAAGCGACGAAAGTCGACGAGCAAGGAAGCCTGGACAATGACAGAAGACGACAACCTCCTGCTACAGCTCAAAGACGAGGAAGGGCTGCCATGGAAAGCGATAGCCGGGAAATTCCGCGACATGGGCCGAGGCGAGTTTCGAGTCCCCACGCTGCAGATGCGCTACAAAAGGCTCAAGGAGAAGATGCGGGTTTGGGATATGGAAGATGTATGTGTGCGACATGCTCTCCCTCATCGATATACCTGAACTAAGTTGAAAGGCTCATGTGCTGACGAGAAGGCGATTACAACAGATACAATTCCTGAAGGAGGCAAAGGAGCACGTCGAGAAGCAAAAGTGGGAACTCATCTCGCAAAAGATGCTAGAGCTCGGCTGCAAAAAAAAGATACCCGCCGTTACTTGCGAGAAGAAGTGGAAGGAGATCTCACCCCAGGCCGGCCCTCCCACCCCGCAACCCTCGCAGACGTCGAGCGTTTGCGGGACCGAAATGAAGAGGGAGCTGTCTCAGATATCTGATGACGGATGCTGCTAAACTCAGCACTGGGTTACCTATTTATTTAATAGCTAGAGACTGGATCCTTTATCTAGGCTTTTCTTTTTTCCCTCTTTCCATCCATCATCCCCCTTCTATTTGTCCGCGTCGGTGATGTGGGGCTTTTCCTTTTCCCATATTTATTCAATTTTCTTTTTGAGTCATGGTGGGGGTAGGTCTGGATATGGGAATTGTCACTTTTTTTTTCTTTTCTTGTTTGTTTTCTTTGTGGGAGGGCGCGGGTTGGTCGGTTGGTCGGTTTTAGGGGTTTGTCGGGGCTTCTTTTCTGTCTATCCATATTCTACTATTTCCATTTACTTTTCCTTTTTCATTTCTCATCGGATGGGTTGGGCTTTCACGGGGTTAATAAGATGGTTTCTCTTTTGTCCTCTTCTTCTATCATACTTGCAACTTTCTTACTTGCTTCAACTATTCCTCCTATTCCTTAGTATCATCACATCCCTTTTTATACAGTGTCGGCCTCGGTGTTTTCTGGATTTCTCTCTTACCTGGGTGTTTTTGCTTTTCCAAACCTTTCTTTCCACTTCACATTCTATCCATATATCCATCTCTTTCTAACTCAGCCTCGAGCAAAAAAGGAAAAAAAGGAAGGAAAAACGGGGGGGGGGGAGACGGAAAAATGGGGGGACAAAAAAGACAGGAAAAATGTTACCTTGTATTATTTATCTCTCTTTTTTTTTTTTTTCCTCCACCACTGCTATCATACCTTTACATCATTGTCATCATCATCATCATAATCATCATCATCATAAACCAGCATTTCATCCCTTTTCTTAACTGTCCTTCCCTCCCTTCCTCCTTCTCCCATTCCCTATTAGTTTGTCAAAGCAAGTTCCGCTCCACCCTTTTCAAAACATTGGGTAATGTCGTTTCGCATTTTTTTCCGTTCCACTACAAGAAAGAAAAATGGGTTAGGACATCTGCTTTTATCGATTCATTAGTTTAGTAGGTTAGTCATTCAAGAATGGAACAGATGGAGGTCGGGGAGGGAGTCGGTCGGACACAAGAATAAGAAACGAAGTAACAAGTTTTATCAAGATTGTTATGACATCGATTTTCGTTTAGCGATATCTCACATGTCTTTCCGCGCTCGAATGAGTTGAATGAATGTGTGAACTGGTGGTGGTGGTTACTGCAATGCGGGCCAGCCAGCCAGCCAACTAGCTAGCTATAATAGCTTGCTTGTAGCTATAATAGCTTGCTTGCTAGCTGTACAGTACGAGTAAGTAGAAAACAAAAAAAAACGTAGCGTGCGTGCGTGCAGTACAGTATACTGCAACTGCACCGCAACTGCAACTGCACTACAATACACCCAATCACTCGTACAACCTTCCAGCCAACAAGCCCCCCAGCCATCCAGCCCATCCAGCCCATCCAGCCATTTCAGTCGATCAGTCAGTCAGTCAGTCAGTCAGTCAGTCAGCTCTTCCTCCCCACCTATGATATGATATGATTAACCCCGCGCGATAACCTACGAAAAGAAAGGAAAAAAAAAAAAAAAAAAAAAAGGTAATGATGTACGATAAAATAGAAATCCACGATTGCAAATATAATTTTTCCCACTTTTTTACTCGTACGGTACAGTACAGTACATAACTAGTAGTAATATCTTTTTCTTAAACCTCGCACCGCCACAATTTCTCGCACCAGCCACAACCCAAAAAACCCAAACGCACAGACCACACTCTCGCTCGCTTGTTCCCTCCACTAAACACCCCCCCCCACCCCTCCCCGCCCCTCCACGACAAAAAAAGGAAAAGGAAAAGGAAAAGTGAAGCCCCACACACCATCAATCTCCCCCATCACCCCTCTCTTCCAAAACTGCAGGGACTTTTGTACTGTATGTGTACGAATAAATAGTAGATCTTTATTGTATTGGCAAACTTCTGTTTTTTTTTTTTTTTACAAAGTTCTATGGATGGGGGAGAGGAAGGTTTGCTCCGGACCGAATATGTCACAGAGACTTCTATCATTCCCGAGGGGGCGGTTTAATTTGCATAGTATATAAGTGATTCTATATGATACCGGACCTCCCCCCCCCCAGATCGATGCACAATGTACGGTATGCCGGCCCGGTCGGTCGACCGGCCGGCCGGCATAAGTCCACATCATCATCACGATAAAATGCCAGGTATCATAGATACGATATGATATGGAAAGCGGAGGTTGAAGGGTTTGTGCGTGTACTAGTACTGTATGGGGTGGCTTTACGATACAGTACTAGTACAGTAAGAGTACGGTACGGTACGAGTACCAGCCCCCCCCCCTATTCAGGGGCGTTAACTAGACAATAATAATAATAATAATAATAATACACGTCTTAATATTCCCAGAGATATAGTACAATACCTTACTTTGTCATCGTGGTTACGAGTTACTCGTACAGTACTAGTACACACTTACCGGTCTGTAGTCCACAACGGTGGTAGTGGGGGGAGAAAAATGGTCAATTACTAAACGGGTATATAGTTGTACATGATATATAACGATTTCATTCGCCGATACCCCCCCGGAAAAGAAGCGAAACGGGGTCGTTGTGGATTGATTGATTTGATCGATTCATGGCTACCCCCCCCTGTTCATCTTCGCACGGCTTTACAAACGGTGCTATAGGTTTTCGCATTACGCGGTTTTATTGTGGAGGGAAAAGGGGGAGGAGGAGGAAAAGGGGAGAAGAGAGAATAAAAGGAGTTTTTGTCATAAATCTACAAGTAATTCCGTTTTAGAATGGCGCGGTTGTTGATATTATAAGTGTAAGACCAATTTACTACCGTACTTGTGATGCAGTACTTGTACTTTTAACTGTATGATGTGGTTCTATGATACCTCCGGTACTGCACCGGTAGGCTACCACGGGTGAATGAGAGAATGCTTGACTGGATGGCTCACGTGGACAACATCTGCACCCTCCCTAGCGATTCGGGGAGATAGCGTTTCGTTTCGCATCTTGCTTACCTGATATCATAACTCCGCCAACAAAGGAGTTGCTGAATCGTTGATACCGCCAACTTGTACTCGAGTATATCCACCCGCCCATAACCCGGGTTGGGCTCGCCCGGCGTGACTGGAGCTTTATCGTGAACCTACGCTTTTCAATGATGATTACCGGTGGGTTAGAACAGCGATTGATAAATTATCCATCGCAAAGAGCCAAAGTCCGATGCGCCTTCTCTTCTCTTCTTTTCTTTTTCTTCTTTCCCTTCTCCATTTCCCATTTGTCAATCGGTCAATCGGTCGTTGAGACCATGATACCCGAGTTGGTTGATCGATTCCTATCCATATCATACCTCCTCGGACAAACAAAAAACAAAACAAATAAACAAACAACTAAAACGTCAGCTCTCTCAACTCCCGTACAATACCGTACTTCCCACCCCACTCAGCCGTGTTAGAACTGGATAGAGTGTGCAAAGGAAGATAAAGTAAGAAAGAAAGAAAGAAAGAAAGAAAGAAAGAAAGAAAGAAAGAAAGAAAGAAAGAAAGAAAGAAAGAAAGAAAGAAAGAAGAAAAAAAAGAGGTCATCGAAATAGACACGACCTTTTCCCACTTCGAGCCTGTATTATTTCGTTTTTTCAGTCAAACATCCAAGAAATGTCAGTTCAAGAAACGCCATGCAATGTACAAGTATAACCTACTTCCCTGGAAGAACCCCTGTTCTTGCACCCTCTTTTGTCTACCTAGTTCTCTCTCTCTCTTATTTTTTTCTTTCTTTCTTTTCTCTTTTCTTTTCTTCTTTCTTTCCTTCTTTCTCCCCCCCAACGCTTGTGTCACATCGCATGGGCCACCGTGGCAGGACAACTCAGAGGAGATACCGGTACTACAGTGAATAGCTACGAGTACCGGTATGTCAATTGAATTTCGCGAACTCTTGCCCCCCCCTTCGACTATCGATTGGCCGATGGATGGATGCCTCGAGCGAGGGAGAGAAGGGGAATGCCTGATTTGGGGTCTTTCGCCCAAAGGTCACTTTTTTTCTTTCTTTTCTTTTTTCACACCCCATCTCCCGCCGGGCCGACGAACAGAAAGTAAGGATGAAAAGGACTTTGCCCAAAAGTCATTGGTTCTTCTTCCTCAATGTACCGGTAGAAATCTGGATATTATTATTTTTTTTAAAAAAAACCCCAAATTAAATCGAAATTCTAGCCTCTTCTGGCTCCCCGGGTACTTCCTAGCGGCGAGATTGAGCCCCGTCTTCGGATGGCGAGCCGCTTCCCTTTCCTTTCCTCCCTCCCTCCTCCTTCCTTTCCTTCCCACTCGGCGCTGCTATCGGTATTCATGAGGAATACTTCCCCACCCTCTCATCATCCCCGCACCCCTGTACTCACGGGGAATCACTCGTAATAGATGGAAACTATTGAAACGGCTACCGTCGGGGAGGCCGGTAATCATAGACTGAAAATCTGCCGTCCGCACGGTGCCTCCGAGGGGGAGAGAGTGCGCTCTCACTGATACTCCACTTGACGAGCTGTCAACGAATCATCCGTGATGATTGGATTACGCCGCTTCTGTTTTAAGATGGTATCCACCGCGCCCCTTCTCCCGCCGCCCTGACTCAAATGCACGGTACTCTCTCCCACGCGACCACGTTGATAAAACCCATAGCATTGAACGCCATATTCCGTGTTCAGCCGCAGTTTCTCCTTTCTTTTCTTTTCTTTTTTTCCCGTATTGTCATGGGGGTCTGTCTCCTCGAGTGACGTACTATGACTATGACGGCCCCCTACGTGAATGGGGATATATGGGGGAAAGACGATGAATCGAGTTTTGTATTGATAAGGAGATTGTCCATGTCGCGGAATAGGGGATCTTGATTTGCTGTCATATTTCCGCTCCCCTGGCCCCTGATTTTTATTTTTTCCCTTTCTTTCTGGTGAGGTCTGGAGCGAGTGAGTGTAGCGGTTTGATGATTTTTGGGATTCAGCCTTGACTTTTCGTGGTCGGCTGTGAGTCCCTTGTCTCATGTTCGAAACTTGCCGGATGGGAGGGGGAGAGTTGATCTCGCGTTCAACCCCCGCCTCTGACTTCAATTGTGGTTTTTTTCCTCCCTTTTTTCTTTTTCTTAATTCATTTCTGCTTGCGATAACCATGTCGAAGGCTCCATACCTGCAATAGCATACCATAATATCATAGTGGTAGCTTGACATTAGGGAGAAGTGTCCTAATGCCCTCCCCGTTGAAATTAGCTAGGATTCTTGGATTCTTGGATTCCTTTTTCGGTCTCGTCCTACCAAGAACATGAGGGGAGTGCTCTGGCCCCCGCTCTTGACTGTGTATCTCCTTTAAGAACTCGGATTATTATTCAGCTCGCATAACGCGTGCCGAGAGGAAGGGAAATTGGAAAAAGAAAATAATCTTATCAGTTCCCTGTCAGTGGTCAGAATCGTAGTATCACAGGCGGACCATTTAGCCAGTACCGCACTCGAGTACGGTATCGAGGTTCATCAAACGTTTCGCTCGCTACTCGTGTCGCACAACTTTTCTTTCTACAAGGTCATTGTGTCGTGTTCGTAGTAATTTCCCCAACTCGAGGGAGTTCGAGTTCTGGTACGGTAACACGCTCATCATCAGAGAGCACAAACGGCCGGCCGTATGCCACATGGGGAAAGGAGGGAACATGTACCTTGGTGCATACTACACTCGAGGATTCGAGCAAGAAGCATGAGCCACCCAGCAGCTGGTCACTTGTTCGATTCTGGTAGACCCGATACCGGTATCTTATTTTGCGGTGATATGGGTAGTCCAGTTTAAAATCTCTAATCTGCCTGAGTAAAAACCCATTAAAATGGTTCAATTGCTTTTGCTACCCCGCTATTGGAAGACCGCGCGGTCCCTTGAGGAGAAGAGTAGGGATTTGATTTCGCACCAAGCAATGATGCAAACTCCACGCTTTCCAGATTGATATCCTTTGTTGCTGGTTTCGTTAACGATCAACAGGATTCGTGTTGAATGCGCTGGGAAAGGCTGGGCCACGGAGCTTCTCCACGACCCACAATCGCACCAACTGCCGGATCATTCGCCCTCTCCCGGATCATCGGGG